CACTTCCTTTTTTCTTGAGGAAACCAACGCAACCGTTGGAATTCATAGCAAACATTGGCTTAAATCCCCCGTTTGTGGTGCTGTTCGAATTCTGCTGCGAGGACAGATAGTGTTTGTTCTTCACGGTGCTTTTTTGGCTGCAGCTTCCTCAGCAGAGCCCCCAGCCTGCATAGACTTCCCTTCCTTAACGGGTTGATTGCCAGTTGCTTTTTTTCCTTTTAGGCTTTTCTTTAGTTTTATTCATGGAAGGATTTCAGGATCAAGCAACACTTCACAGCTGACAAATCTGGTTTTTTTTTTTCTATTGTATTGATTTACCATCACATCCCACGTGGCAGCAGGGCAGGGGAGCTGGGGTCTGCAGATCCCCAGCGACACAAGGTGATGGCTGGATGGAGCCTTGGCTCCTCCTTGGTGGGAGCTGGGCAGCCCAGGTGGGACGGGGGACAAACGTGGCGTGGTGGTTTCCTCTGGTGGGTCGTGTTAAGGGAACACTTGGAGACCGCCCTGCCTCTTCCTCTGGACTCATGACGTGTACATGGTTGAGTCCTTAAGGAAAGAAGATTTGACTGCGTGCATGTTGCCTCATCATCGCTTTCCATGAGGTCGTAGTGTCTCATGTTTAGAGCTTCCTTCTGCCTTCCCAGGCCCTTCACTCAGAGTGAAAGGATTTTTTGCTTTGTTAGAAACCAGTGATCCCACAAACATGTTTCCAGCCATACTGCACCAAAACGTTTCTCTTGTCCATTCGGTTATTAATTATTTTCGTTAGATCCTTCACGATTAAATCTCGTTATCCTGCAGTTTGCTTTCAGAAGTCTCAGTACTGTCAACAGCTGGATTCGTGGCGCGGAACGTCGGGGTTTTCTGTGTAATTGCAGTTTAGTTCGTTCCGATTCAGCGCGAGCCTGGCGGCAAGGGAGCTCTGCTGGCTGCCATGTTTTTAGAAAGAAGGTTAAACAGGATTACTGTGCAACTTACTGGTCTGGTGGGGATCCAGGACAGAGCCTGCTGGTGTGCCGGGCACGTCTCGTTAGATTTAGCAAAGTCACTCAAGGAGGTAAAAATCCATCCAAAGTGCAGCACACGGATTGAATTCCTAAAGGTGAAAGGGAGATTGGGATGCACAGCCTGGATCTGTCGATGCTGTAACATGATGGAGATGCTCACAACTGGTTTTACTTTTGGTTTTGGGGGGAAATTGTGAAACGTACTAGCGGTATTGATACCTGCCTTGAAACATATGGATCCACGTAAGCTATATAACATACTATTGAACGCTCCCCTTTTTTTAAACAGGATTTTTAGCTCAAATATAGGAAAGCATTTAATCAGCTCGTTAATTGAGGTTATACATTTCTACATTACAGAGACAAATTAAGCAAGCTACTGTGGTACCAGGAAACATCTGCTAAACAAAGGCAAACTTAATGATAAACAAAATTAGGCTCTTTTCTAGTTGGGTTTCATCCATCTGCACCCAACTAGTGCTCACTTTTAAAGAAGGCAAAGATACAAGCTGTTGCTTTTAATCCATTTTGACAGAAGAAAGCAGCGATTAGGCAAAGCCACTGTGCTCTAATCTTCCCAAGTTTAAGCCAGGCCGTAACGCACACATTATTCTTTCCAACTGGCGTTCCCAGAACGGGAAGATGCTCAATGTTTCCTGGGCTGCCATCAGGCTGGGTGTTCAGCGGTTTATTCGCACGTCGATTTTACAGTATGCAACTTCTTTTGACATCACAGGGGGTCAGCCTTCAGATCTTTGCTCTGACAATGTGGCTTTACGATGTGCACTGATGTTTTATTTGCTGGAGCAGGATTAGCAATCATTTTAAGGCATTGCTGGCAGTTAACCTCTGTAAAAGCTCCGAAACGGTGCGATCGGAGCTGTTTCATGCAGTAGAAGCCGTGGAGGTGGAAACCAGCAGCTTTGAATACTGGTGTGCACTGGGTATGTTGTTGTAGCAGAAGGAGGCTCGAATGTGCTCGTACGTTTGTGTTCTGCCTGTGTTCCTATACGCAGTATAGGATATAGAAGTATCCCTATACGTTTGTATGGAATACTTCATAATTTTTACAGAATATGAAATTCTGCTCTTGTCACTCCATGGAATTAAGTGAGGGCTGTTGGAGGAGAGGGAGGCAGGGTTAATTGTGGTGTTAGAGTACAAGGTCACAGGGCTAGGAGGAACCTAAAAAGGTCAGCCTGGCTGTCCCTTGGCACGAAAACAGGCGTCACCCTGCGCACCACTGCTTTTGGCTGGTTCCTAAATTGTCCAGTGACAGAGTTTGTTCCCTCTCTGTCATTTCCACTTCATTCCATAATCTACAGATCCTTTTTTGCAGACCTGCTCCAGCCTACGCTCCAGGCAGTTGTTTAATCCTATATTTATGCAGCTGATTGATCCCTGTCTAAGGGATCCACTTGTCCCTCTTGAATTTAATTTTGTTTTTTCAGTCTGATTTCCCGATTTGTCAAGATCACTTCGAATTCTAGGTCTCATCCTTCAGCGCATTTGCTCTTCCTCCCAGATTGGTGTCACCTGCAGGTTTGGACTCGATGACCTTAAGAGTCTTTTCCAACCTAAATGATTCTGTGATTTAGTGGATTTGTCAGTATTTGAGAGGTACAGCTATAACATCACCTGTGCTGCTGGATGGCTGCAGACCAGAGGTTGCATTTGAAATCTATCTTTGGAATATTTCCTGTAAAAAAAAAAAAATCTCTCACGCCGATGCTCGCGACGATCTGCAGACATGCAACACGTATCTGGGAGGATGCAGATTAAATGCAGTTTTGTTCCCTGCACAGATGTGAAGCCGTCTAACATGCTGGTGAACACGCGCGGCCAGGTGAAGCTGTGCGACTTTGGGGTTAGCACGCAGGTAATTCCCCCTTCAGACATCTGCCCGCTCTCTTTCTAATGCCAAAATAAAATCACCTGGCTGCCAGACAGCCAGCCCCACAGCAAGCTCCTCTCTGCTGGGAGAGCCCCATTCAGTTTTAATCTCTGGGCGACTTTTCTTCATCTGAATATGATTGTTCATTGTTTAATGACAGTAAAAACTGCTGATATTGTAATTACTACTTACGAATAGCAAACTTCATTGATATGCAGCTTTGATAGGAAAGTGTTTTGGCCAGACAAAAGGGAGGGCAGAGCGAGGGATGTGTCTGGGGAGCCCAACTGGCCCACGATAAAAATTAATATTGGGAGTAACAATGGTGGTGGGCTTTGACAATGTGCAGCACAAATTTTAATTAATTTCCATTTTGGGCCTCCCTGGAGAACTTCTCTGATAGTGACCCATGAGCTTGCTGTGATGTTGATTTGAATTTCAGCACCTTTACTCTCAGCCAAACACGAGGACCAAAGAGAAGGTCAGCCTCGTGTGATAAGTTGTCAGACTCTGTTGTCCCTCCAGCGTATTTAGTGCTCGTTGCATTCAAGTGATGAATGTGGCTTTATTCACATCTTGAGCCAGCTGACTGAAAAATGAGTGCGCTCAATCCTCCTTCAAATTGACTTTTTATATCAGACTGGTTTGGGGTACTAAAGCGATAAGCATCCTGTTTAACAGAATTGTTTAAGGTTATCTGCCATAAACTGTAATGCAGTGCTTGTTTAAATTGGAGCTCTCATTCCGAACAAAAGAGAGATTTAATCATTTTTAATGCCTTTGCAGATAAATTTGTTCCCTTTTACATAATTTTTAGTTGATTTATAGGAATGATGATTGTAGGTTAAATGAGGAATAATTGCCCATTTTATTTCCACATTATCTTTATATTGTTCTAACAGACTGTTTTGTCTGATAGCTGGTGAATTCTATAGCCAAGACGTATGTTGGAACAAATGCTTATATGGCGGTAAGTGGATTTATGCAGGAATAACATTTAAATAGAAGTATCTGTTCACAGTCTTGTTCTGGGTAACGCAGGATATGCTCTACATCAATTCTCAAACTTCATCTCTCCCCATCCCCAGCATAAGCCGTGTCTGAATTGTGTGTGCCACCAAACAACTCCCTTTTATTCGCTCCCTTCCTGCCTGTGCTCACCTTCCAGCTCTGCGACAACTGCATCTCGCTGGTAGGGAAGGGTGATATTGGAAAAGTGTCTTTTTTTGTGTGTTTTTAGTTGCTGGTACTGCGTTGTAACAACTGGGAACAAAGAAGAGAGATGGTTCAATATTTAAAAAAAAAAAAAACAAAACAACCGCAAACAGTTTTCCACTGATATCCTGACGATCCGATGCGGTCCACTGTGTGGGAACTGCTGCTCTAGCAAAAGCATTTAGAGATGGACAAGCATCTCATGGGCTTCTTAATACCCGTGTGAGCGATTCCCATGTGAAGCTGCCGTCGAAATTTGAAGCTAAAATATCAGGACTAAGAATTTTAGGGCGTTAAATCGCACGTTGTGTAATCTTCATGCCATACGTACCAAGTCATCACTACGTTTCACTTCTCTATATAAATTTTGATCAGAATGCTTGTTATGATGAGACTGCTCCCGTCCTTTTTCTGTATGTCAAAACATAAATTCCCATCGTTTTTAGGCAGAAGGAACGCATTGCTAAGGATGGATCATTTGGGGGAACGCTGCTGCTGTCAGGGTGTGAGGTTTGGGTTTAGCAGTTCCAGCTGACCTGACAACTGGCGCGTGGTGTTCATGTCACTGAGATTATGGTGAGGAGAACTAGTCTGGAAGAAAACTCCAAAAGTTACTGTGTATTTACCATCAGATCAATTTGTTTAATTTTAGTTCTCCATTTAAAAGATGTGAAAACTGGAATGTTTCAGTTCAGAGCGCTATATTAACTGTTGTCTTTTATTTTTGGTCATTAAAATTCTTTTAGAAAGCTACTTAATGCCATAATATTACTGAGTGAAAGAAAAAAGTGTTCAGCTTGTTTAAAAAAAAAAAAAAGTGCAAACAATACAAAATGCTTGATACTTGTATTTTTCAAACCTCAGAAAAGAGGAGAGAGAAATCCATGACCTTTAATCGCTTTCAGGTATTTTTTCTTACTTTCCAACAAGAAGAAAGCAGACCAGGGTGTCCATTTATTTGCTAAGTGCTTTTCTAGTCAAGGTGTACTCGTTATGTGGCTTCTGAAATGCTCATGTCACCATCCTAGAAAGACTTGGGCTATCCTGTGTCATCAGAATATTGTGCACGGAAAAACATTTTTAAAAAAAAAAAGAGAGAAAAAAAAATCCAGTCTTCTATATTACCACTTTTGCTAGTAAGCCTGCTGATTTCCATGCCTCCATTTTCTAAAAGAACTGGAAAATAGCGATTCTGACAAATAAACAGCTTCAAATTAATCAACTTTTCCACTCAACTGTTACTCTTAGAGTGGTCTTAAGCAGGTCTGAGAATTAAATTCTATTTTGCTTTTACTGTACAAATCAACATTACTGTTCTCTTTCCCAGGTGTGCATTCAATAAATTACTTTTTTTTTCCTTATTGTTTATGGATGAATGTGATGCATTCATCTCTTCATTGAAAAAGAGAAGTTTAAGGTAAAACGTACTTGATCTGATTTTTTTCAAGTTGTTTTGCTTGCTGAGTCATTTGTTGCCATCAAATTTATAGTCTAGTCATCAAAAATTAATGAAGGTCATAAGCTTTGGTTTGCCTACTTGGCAGACTGTGAGTGAATTTGAAACCATGAAAAAAATAGAGATTTCTCTTCAAAATAAACGAGCAAAAAAGCTTTTTCATTGAGAAATTAAAATTTTCAATAAAAATACATTTTCTGTAAAATCATTTTATCACCATTTTATGCAAAAAAAAAAAAATTGGATGGAAAAAAAGTAACCAGTTGTAGAAATTTTAAGGGAAAATATTTTTGAGCTGTGTATCCTTAGGATGATCTCTGTGCTGCAAACTTCACTTTACGCATGTGTCACTCTTATTTTCATCTTCTTTTCCATACTCTTAAGTTCACTTGACTAGACTTTTTGTTTCAATATGCACGTGATTTACTTGCCACTGGCTTCTGTGAATACTTAGTTTCTAAATAGAAGTTGCTGTTTAAAACTTGAGCTGTCATATGATGCTGTTGCAAATATTTCTAAGACATGCTGACCTAGGCTAACTACGTTTAATGAAGGCTTGCCTTAATGAACGTTAAAAAAAAAAAAAAAATAAAATTTGGGGGTCACTGTTGAGCTCAAAATAAATAAGGCTCAGAGTCAAAAAGATTTTGTTCCAGTTACATTCTGGGGTGGTTTTTTTTTGAGGTTATGGCAGTTGTGGAGGACTATCCTTAAAGATAACGTGGGCAGCAGCGTGTTTTTTACTTAACGTTCACGCTGCGATAAAAGCTCTTGACCTGGGATTAGCAGTGCAGAGTAAACATCCAAAAACACATTGGACTGGCACTAATTTGGGAGTTTGTTTTCTAAAAAAGGTCTCTGGATTATTAAAGACTAAAAATACAGCCAGTGCTTTGTAGGTGGTTGGGCTAGACAGGTGCATTAACAGCACAGTGGGGAGAGAAGTCTCATGGAGCCTTTTATTGTTACATTTCATGCTGTACTTGACCTTGAAAATGCTTAAATTGTGGCTTTCAAGTAAAAACTAGCAGTTATATTTTACAGCATTCTATTTCATGAGGCATTAAACTTGCTCTTAATAGTTCTGAGTGAAGTCTTGTTTCTTATAGGTCAAAACCGAAATTAAAAAGTATATAAAATAAAATTGCTGGCATGTGACTTCATTGATTCTTTTGGCTTCAATAACTTTGCTTTCTAAGCCGTAGTTACTCCCCAACCCCTTGGCTGAAGATGAGGAGTCGCTGCCCATGTGCAAGCCCTTGGCTTTTTGTGGGATAAAACAGCCCAAATCCAAACCCTAAGGCCAACTACGCAGCGATGCACGGCCACGAGGCCTTTGCTCTTGCAGAAGAGGAGAAAATAAATAAATGAGGCGCGTTTGAATTTGCTCTCTGTTGGGTTAGGCTCAAGAAGGTCTTTCTTTCCATCTCTTTGCAGCCTGAGCGGATTTCAGGAGAGCAGTATGGAATTCATTCGGATGTTTGGAGCCTGGGGATTTCCTTCATGGAGGTATGCAAATATCTGTTGCTTTCACGTTGCAAGAATCCAATTAAATCTAATGTCAAAATATTTTAACGTGAATCTTTGTATACTGTTTTCTGCATGCATGCTTCTAACTGTTGCTAAACTTCTTGGCTGTATTTAGAATGGGTTTGTTCTTACTGAGTTCAATTCAGTTAGATATAAGGAATCAGAGATGGTTTGGGTTGGAAGGGACCCCAAAGATCACCTAGTTCCAGCCCCCCTGCTGTGGGCAGGGACACCCTCCACCACTATACAAACCATGTAATGTTCTTAAACCCTCTAACAAAACTCCAGGTGAGGGTAAGAAGTAGGGCCTGGGACATGGATGCCTCTGTATCCTTCCAGCACCTCCAGGATTGGAGATGATGGCATCAGGGTTAAAATAGCATTATGCAAATTCAAGGTTTGAGCTGGGTAATGGCCTTTGGAAAATCTTTGGAGAAATATTTGCACGATGGTGTGAGTCTCTCCCTGTGTGATTAAGTAAAGTGTTTGAACTTAAGTCTTCCTAAGGGCTTTTAGAAAGATTTCTCACAAACATAGTTTCAGGCAGGGGGAAGTCCTACCAAAATGAAGCATTTCAAGGAGAATGTGGTCATGACTCCAGTCATTCAGGAGAAGCCATGCTTTCTGCAGGCTTTGTCAGAAAAAGATCAGTTTTGATTCAGGAAAAGGTTGGTTTTTTGGTCTTAGAATCATAGAATCATAGAATGGTTAGGGCTGGAAGGGACCTTCAAAGGTCATCTAGTCCAACCCCCCTGCAAGGAACAGGGATATCTCCAAAGTCTTAGGATTCATCAGATGTTTTAAGAAACATAAATTTCAATGACTTCCTAAGAACGGATGATTTTAATTTATTTAATAGGAAAGATAACCTGGAGTGTATGAGTTGAGTAGAAATACCTGTGTTGTTATAACATCTTGACCAGTAAAATCAATCGGGCTTGGTCTGGTCTGGGAGAAGGGACAGGCAGCTCTGGTCTGGTGGTGGCAGAAGGTTGTGTTCATGTAGCCTTTTTCACGCTGGCCTGGGCTGGCCACGAACAAGCCTAGGAGCTCTTGTAGCCTTGATAGCTCAAGCAGTAAGCTCTCAGGAGACTTCTTCAACTCCAGGAGAGTCCCATGGAAGAGCTTCGCCTTGCTTGGAGTTGCTTCCTGTAAGAACGGTTCATCCAAACCATCGATGACTTGCATCATCCTTCTTGCACAGCCTGACAAAGGCGTGATACGATCCACTGAAATATATAGGTGCCCTTCCCTTCTCTTCTGGTACGTTGTAGTGTCATTAAGGTGAAGCTGAATATACCTTTTAGTGAAGTTCAACTGGTGTTTTTAGCAGAAGATTCGATAGGATTTACGTAGTCTTGGTGCTGGCCCTCTGCCATCTAGACACATTTCACATTGTGTAGCCTGAAAATTAACCACGACTAGTGGTACGTTTTCAAGTAATAAACTCCTTACCAAATCAGTAAATTTTAAGCAAAATGAAGATACTTCATGCTGAATCATTGCATTCAGGTCTCGTAAATCTTTTCCGGAGTCTGACTGAAGCGAACTCTGAATTACAATAATGACATGCTTTAACACATCACGGGGGATGCAGTTCTCTTAATTTGTTTTACTGCACATTTTAATGGTTTGTGATGTTGAAGAGCCCTCACAGTTTTGGGAGAGATACAGAATGTACTCACACACTTGGTAAATGAATCTAGCCAACAAGGAGCTAAAAGGAGACTGTATCACGTTAAGACTTAGAATCATAGAATCGTAGAATGGTTTGGGTTGGAAGGGACCTTAAAGATCATCTAGTTCCAACCCCCCTGCCATGGGCGATGAAACTCCCTTCTCCTCACTTGACTACGATGTTCTTCCTGGTGAATAGAGTGGTGGAATTCTCCACGGTGGAATAGGGTGATATAAATGCAGAAGTCTCACAGAGCAAGCATTTACTAGTTTGAATGAATAAAAAACCTATTTTGATGTGCAGTGGCAATCCAATGAACTGTGTAGACCAAGACACTTGGAGTTTAGTTTAGGATTACTAGTAGGTGACCTGTCTGGTCATGAATCATAGAATCATAGAATGGTTAGGGCTGGAAGGGACCTTCAAAGGTCATCTAGTCCAACCCCCCTGCAAGGAACAGGGATATCTCCAACTAGATCAGGTTGCTCAGGGCCTTGTCCAACCTGGCCTTGAACGTCTCCAGGGATGGAGCATCCACCACCTCTTTGGGCAACCTGTTCCAGTGTTCTACCACTCTCATAGTAAAAAATTTTTTCCTAATATCCAACCTGAACCTACCTCCCTCTATTTTAAAACCATTACCCCTTGTCCTATCATAACTGGCCCTCCTGAACAGCCTCTCCCCATCTTTCCTGTAGGCCCCCTTGAGGTACTGGAAGAATTTTATTTGAAGGCTGAATTTTGCATTATATTGCCCACATTAGGAAAACTCCTTTCATTTGCGTTTACTCTCCTCTTATAAACCTTCTCGACTTGTTTTTTTTTTTTTTATCCCTTCTCTCACTTTCCACGAACGTCTTCTGAACCAGATGTACAAAAAAAAACCAATTTGGTTCTGTGCGCTTTGTTAATTGGTGTGTCATCCGGTCCTCCGAGACCTCTCCTCAACATGAGCGCGGTTTTATTGAAGTGGTTTGAGTGATGTGTTAAATGATGAAAGCAAGGACAGGGGCTTAGAAAAATGTCTCGAAAAAGGTGAAGAAGATGCTCAAAGAGCCACCCAAGGTCACTGTCATTAAAGTAACACTGTATTGACATGGGGATTGGTAGCGGAGACACCCAGGCTCTTGTTGATGGAACTGTTAAAAAAGGAAGTGGGCATTTGCTGTAAGATTTTAAAAATCCTCTCCACTTAGTGGTGTAATACTTCAATCCCTACAACTTCAAGCCAGCACAGTTATGGCATGTTCATTTAAAAGAAATGCCACGTTGGGACCAAGTTAGCAAGGGCTGTTCTGGCGTATGATAACATAAAATAGCAGCTAAGTACATCTTCTCATTTTCTTTAATATTCTGCTGAGCCTTTAAAACATCTTGAACTTCTTTGCTGCAAAGCTGTGTGGAACGGGAAACCGAACTGTTACTTTTGAAGGTTAAGAAAACTGCCCCCCAAAAATTTGCTAGCAGAATGTGAAAAGTATTAGATGTGGGTACCACGGAAGTTTTGAGAGATGGTGAGTACTCTTGTTCTTTTTGAAGTCGGAGGTGTCTGAGGGTGTTCACTCTTCCCTTTGCCAAAAGAAAAGAGAAAAAAAAAAACAACGTTGCAAGCTTTATTTATTATTATTCTCTCATTTTTTTGAGTTTGCATTTATTTTGTCAGGATTTTTTGAAGGGAATTAATGTTGATGCCTAATCTGTAAAACTGTTTAAAAGCATTTCATCACGAATAGTTCATGTGTCTTCTTAAGTTTTTTAGGCATTTTATTTAAGGGCTCTTGGGTTGACAAAGCAAGTTCCATTTAAACCAGTGGCATTGCTGTCACTGCACTGAAGACTGTGTCAGCATTTTCATTATAAAAGCTGTTTTTCAGGGGTTTATCACTCAGTCATAAAACACACTCCAGGCTGACTGGGCTGCATCCCAGTGCTGTGTGTGCTCCAGAACCGATTCCGTCTCCCTCCAAGAGCCGTGCCCGGCACAGGGGGATAAATTAAATTGCCTAATATGTCTTGTTACTCTCCAATATGACTCTAATCCTACCTTCCGTGGCCGCTGTCTGAAAGTGAACTTGGAAGCAGCCAAAATGGGATAAAACACATCTCGTTATTTTCTGATAGGCAGCGTTCTTGTCCAGTGGTGCCTTTTCATGGAGGTGTTTGAGGAGTCCCCTTCAGCTGAGCCACTTCTCCTGGGGTCAGAGGCTGCTGTAAGAGACAAGAAGCTGGGTGAGAAGAGCTTTGGTGGGACCAGGGTGTGTTCTCAGGTCCTCCTGCTTCCGCAGGGGTTTTCTTCTTGGTTTTCTCCTGATTTTATCATCTCAAAGCTGCCTACTGAGGAGTGCTGGCATGTTCTCGAGACAACGCTGAAGACCAGGGTCTCCTGCATGTCATGAGGAGAAGGGAGTTTCGGGAAGGGAATGGAATTGAGCTGTGACCAGAGTTGTTCATTGAGGCTAAGTATAGGCTTGCAGACCTTTACCAGAAGATCCAGGTAGATTTGGTATTGTATGATATTGAAATGCAGGATGGGAAAGTTATTTGCTTATGCCACAAACTGAGTAAGTTTTGGAAGCAGAATATGAGCTTATGCGCTTGGCTGATGATAACTTTTTGCACCTCCTTTTGTGCAAAGGTCTCTGCTTTCCACCGTCCTCTGCTGAGGAAAACAGCTGCTCTGCTGTGTTTCAGGCCTCCCTTTAAAGCTAAGTTTTCTTGCAAAGATTGTCAGTGTTCTCTCCTTCAGGGAAAAGGAGTTTGTGTATCAGTTTTAATGTTAGAAGCAAGTTCTTAAAACTCCCAAAATGAGAATTTTAAGAGTTCTCTGTATATTTTCAAGAGCTTTCAAGGGTTGCTAGTTGCTTGTGACATACGTTTTAGGGTGCTGTTTACCATAGAATCACAGAACGGTTTGGGTTGGAAGGGACCTCAAAGATCATCTAGTTCCAACCCCCCTGCCATGGGCAGGGACACCCTCCACTACACCAGGTTGCCCAAAGCCTCATCCAACCTGGCCTGGAACACTTCCAGGGATGGGGCAGCCACAGCTTCTCTGGGCAACCTGGTCCAGTGCCTCATCATCCTCAGAGGGAAGAATTTCTTCATCAGCTTTGAAGTGATAGTGATTCAAGATCAAGATTGTGAGCTGATCTGCAGGAACTCCTGCAGACCACAATTTGGTCTTCTGCAGGATTTCACTGATGTGCAGACGTGATGGTTGGTCTTTTACCTAAACCATGGCAAGTAGACAGATAGGGGGTGAAATGTGAGACCCAAAACTTGATGGTACAGCATAGCTTTC